CACCGATCACCATTTGAGAATATCAACAAAACCAGTCCGTCACTCTCCGGAACAACATCAACGCCAAACTGAACTTGTCCTGATATTTCTGCGCGATGTCGACCATGTTCATATGTTTAGCCTGTAAAGGTGAACTTTAAAAACAGTGAAATCGACTCATATAAATAGTAAACAAGTATTCATACAGAAACAATATAAATTGTTCCAGAATGAAAATCGAAACAACGAAGATCGAAACAACCATGCGAAAGACCTTACCATGAATATTGAATAAGCGATCCTCATTCTTATCGCAACGTTGTCATTTCGCAGTGCATCACGAAAACAGCAATTACCAAAGATACACACTGGATCCGATAAAGCCAATTCCAGCTGATTCACGTGTTCAGTACGAATGTTATGTCCAATTTGCATACGTACAATTGCTCTAAAAGTATTCAGTTTGAGAACTTCAAAACCGAAAAAAAGAATAGGTAAAAAGAATAAAATGAACCTGCACACATAAAATGAAAGCTTGGCGAGAAACAATGAAGAATATCCAGAAAAAATTTCAGTGCAAGGAGAAAAGAAAACATTTCAAAGAAATCCAACACTGCTACAAACCTTACCATTATCGCTGGATGTCTGAATGTAGACGAAACGTTGATCTGAGAGTTCTCCATACCAAACTGATGTGAGAGTTCAGTTCGAAGTAATGTCGACCATGTTCATATGTTTATCCTGCAAAGCTGAACTTTAAGGATGATGAAATCGATTCACATAAATAGTAAACAAGTAGTCACATAGAAGTAATATAAGTTATTGCTGAATGAAAAAAAAACACGCGAAGATCGAAACAACCATGCAAAAGACCTTACCTTATAATATTGAATATGCGCTTCCTATGGCATCGATGACAATTCGTAGTGCATCACGAAAACAGGAATTACCATAGATGCAAACCGTATTCGACAAAGCCAGTTCCAGCTGATTCAGGTGTTCATAATGAATGTTATGTCCAATTGATTTCAGATTATCCCTTTCAATTTTGATTGCAAACGAATGCTCTAAAAGTGTTCAGTTTCAAAACTTTAAAACCGAATGAAATATTAGGTAAAACTGCATACATAAATTGAAATTTCCCGGCAAACAATGAAGAAGATTCAAATAATATTTCGGTGCGAGGAGAAAAGTAAACATTTCAAAGAAACCTTACTATTGTCGCTGGATGACTGAATGTAGACGAAACGTTGATCATCTCCATACCAAACTGATGTGAGAGTTCAGTTTGAAGTATCGCAAGGCTGCCTCATAACTAAGGCTCCTTATGCGTATGTCGCACTTCATTCACTGGATCTTCCAAGTCGATCCTCCAAAATCGTCACCAACCGCCACTGGCAAAAAAAGCTCTGCAAGAAATCGCCATGAGAACAGAGCAACCAAACACTGATAATCGCCTACAATTTTCAATGGATAGCAAACGAACACATTAATATTCACAAGGATTTAAGAACATCGTTCCGAACTGACTGACTACTAACATAATTCTGTAATGGATTTGAGGAAAACGAGAA